GTCCAAAAGATGATAGTATCTGGAAATAAATAGTAAAACATTAGGCAGATGATGGAACTATTCCCACTTGCATACGTTCATATCACCAGACAGGTGACGGTTTAAAATGTGGGAGATTATATCTGTCGCACTCTGCAGTTTAAATCCAAAGAAAAGACAAAAGGAAACATTTTTTGAGTCTTTGCAAGTGAGGTCATGTGCTAACATCAGTTGTCAGATAAAATACGTGTGTAAAGAACCATAATGGTAATGTCTTAACAGAATAATAAAATTTGAAATATATACTCCTTGACTTCTGGGCAAATCCATTTTCGGTCTTCCGGAATGTGGGTTATTTGAAGTGCATATCTGAGCAGATCTCGCGCGAATGCAATGCTAAACGAAAAATAAAACGTTCCTCATTTGTTCAATTGTCCGCTGTCTCTATATTTTATTTCATAAAATATATATTTTTATTCTCACTTTGGCACTTGAATGAGATTACTCTGTCTATTACTCTTGCTTATTTCTTCCACCATCTGCTTGTAAATAGACTCTAACTTCTTACGAGATATTAGGAGATATGCAACTCAATCATTTAAGTCGGTAACAATATGTAGTGAAGAGGTCAACAAAATGTATCGATTTTTAAGTGATAGCTAGTTACGGAATATACTAGAAAATACATTGTTTATAGAAACAGTAAATTGTTTGATAAGATAAAGGATAAATAGCGAACTTTTATCAATCTAACATAAATCACTGTTATTAATGCTTCATCACAGAATGAGATATGGAGAGAATAAATAAAAAAGAAATTTAAGTATTTTTAAGTTTGTATTGTTTGATTATCATTCGCTGATCAGGCTTCATGCAAATTCGACTTTTTAATGCAACGTTAGTATAAATTACAGGTTTATAAATGCTTCATCACAGAATGAGATATGGAGAGAATAAATAAAAAAGAAATTTAAGTATTTTTAAGTTTGTATTGTTTGATTATCATTCGCTGATCAGGCTTCATGCAAATTCGACTTTTTAAGGCATGCAACGTTAGTATAAATTACAGGTTTCCAAACGTTGTTTCAAGCTCTCTCAATAAATGTCCCTCTCATTCGCTCTCTCATTATCTCGTCATCTATTAATCTATTTACATGAGACAGTACGTTCATATCTATCTATATATTTTATTACATAAACGCTATTTTTAGTGGATAACTTGAATAGATTCTATGTTTATTTATAGACAGTATATTAATTTATTTTCATCTACCGGTTTAAATATTCGAGATATATTCTCAGAAGAATGTGTGCTGTCGATATTCAGTGGACCAGTGCTACAGAATAACAAACAAAGAATTGTACGAAATGGTTTCGGACAGATGAACGCAGTATGTCTTAGCGAGGACGATACATCATCGAAATCCATAGAAACGCCATTACAGAATCATAAAGGGAAGTAACACATGATTTCAAAGGAATAAACACAGAAGGTCTTAGCGAATACGGTAGTTCCGAGAAGCTCTTTAAGCAACGGTGCAGAATCAAAAACAAAGAACTGTACCAATTAACTATGTATCGGATGAATAAAACGATAAGTTCTTAGCGAGAGAATAGTTCATCTAAACCCGTGAACTAACGCTACACGATCACAAATAAAGAACTGTACCAAATGGTTTCGAAAGAACGAACCCAGTATGCCCTAACGAGGCCGATACTTAATCGAAAACCGTGAACTGACGCAAATAATCATATCATAACGTTGTTGGCGTCCATCACGACTTCGAACAAAAGTTTACGTAGGAAGTTTACTTTATAACAGACTCTGGACATGAGAAACGTATTTTCCTGAAAAAAAAATGTATAAATTTCTCTTGTTAGTAGTTTTTTTTTTGTTTTTTTTTAGCGTCATATAAACTCCTCATGGGTTATTTAATGTCGAAATTTAATTTTCTTGAGAGCATAATTTCATTTACAAAAAAAGTATTGCTTGTATTTTCTTTTTAAGATATTGCTGGTAATTTTTTGAAACGTATTGCTGTTAATATATTTTTGTAATACGAAATTGTATTGTTATGTATTTTTATAGTTTCATAGTGTTTTGGCACTAGTTTCGTGGTTTGTCCCTAGCAGGAACCATAACAGGTTCTACTACCCTGAGTCAGGTTGAACCTGGGAATAACAGCAATTAATATGTTGTTCAGGAGCTCCACAAAACCTCCAGATCAGAGGTCTTGCTGCCGGATGTAGTTTATCATCATGACGAAAACGGTGTTTTCAGTAGATACTGTTACGATAATGAATGATGAACGTTTCCTAATTAGGAAACGGCGAAAATTGCTGTTCCCATTATACTCGAGATAAAATCGTAGGCATTTGCCTGGTTTGCACTCGAATGAGAAGATCGATATAGGTCTAGCTTAAACTAGAGTCAACAAAGTAGTCAGCCTCGGCTTGTATAAGATGAAACAAGGTAATCACAAGGCTAGTGGGCTCTAGATTAATATGGCGTGTATAACTCTTTCTATTTTCCTTTTTATTTTCCTTCATTCATTTTTGTCTTTTATTTTTCTTTCTCATTCATTCTTCTTTCTTTTTTTCTTTTCATAAGGTTGTTGCGTATATTCGTCCTTTCTTTCTGCTGTTCTGTGAATGATCTAAAAATATACCTTAGACACATTTTTTTGTGATTAGTAAATCTGGTTAATTTATGAATGTCTTGTTTATCGTTATTCAAAATTTATTTCAGATTAGACAGACCTTTGGGATGGAATACCAAATAGACAAGAATAGACAAGAATAGACCGATTGTGAAGTTGGAGTTTCAAATGATAAAATAAATAACAACACAAAATATTTCTTTCCAAATCGTTTTCTGATGAGACGAGTTTGAAGATTAAGTTTACGTTCAAAATCTTCACGTTAGAAATTCATTCCGGTGATCAGTGAAAGACTTAGAAGAGAGACTTATAAAATTTATAACTCCCCAAAGATTCACAAATAGTATATGGACAAGAAGCATGGCGCCAAAAAAATATTACTGAATCTTTGTGCCATCAATTACAACATTCATTTACTTCAAAGGGAAATTATACTGAACAATTTCGCTATATTATGATATGCAGTGCAATAGTGTTAGTGTGGTTTCCCATAAACAATGCAAATTATAAACATTTGTCTTATAATTAGTGCCCAGCAATATTATGGTATTAAATACACTTTTATCTATATTTTGCTTTTACTATTTTTTTTATCCCGTGAGCCTTAGGGTCGTAGCAACACCATGTGTAGTGCAGCCACAATAGGAGTTGTGTTACTTGGGCAAGATAGCGAGACGGAGACCAATCAATTCCATGCTGGTTTTGAAAGATTCTTCTCATAGTCGGGTGGCTAGAAAACATTGACTAGCAAACGGTCACCCATAGAGAGAAGAAGACATTTCAGTGGTGATAGCACATGAATGAAAAGAATTGATTCGACTGGAATTAGAACTCTAATATTCCGCAATGTATCGTCCTCCATGTTGCCTTCACCATAATTTCTTCGAATATGATCGGCTCTCATATTCCTCAATGTGCCATCCTCCATGTTGCCTTCTCCTTAATTTCATTCATTATGATCGGCTTTCAGATTCCTCAATGTGCAGTCCTCCATGTTGCCTTCTCCTTAATTTCATCCATATGATCGGCTTTCAGATTCCTCAATGTGCCATACTCCGTGTTGCCTTCCCATTAATTTCATTCATTATGATCAGTTCACAGATTCCTCATTGTGCAATCCTCCATGTTGCCTTCACCTTAATTTCATTTATTATGATCTTCTCTCCGATTATTCAATGTGCCATCCTCCATTTTGCCTTCCCCTTAATTTCATTCATTATGATCGGCTCTTAGATTACTCAATGTGCCATCCTCCATTTTGCCTTCCCCTTAATTTCATTTATTATGATCTGCTCTCAGATTACTCAATGTGGATTCCTCCATGTTGCCTTACCCTTAATTTCATTTATTATGAATTGCTTTCCGATTCCTCAATGTGCCATCCTCCATGTTGCCTTCCCCTTAATTGCATTCATTATGATCTGCTCTCCGGTTCCTCAATGTGCCATCCTCCATGTTGCCTTCCCCTTAATTTTATTTATTATGATCTGCTCTCCGATTCCTCAATGTGCCATCCTCCATGTTGCCGTCCCCTTAATTGCATTCATTATGATCTGCTCTCCGGTTCCTCAAAGTGCCATCCACCATGTTGCCTTCCCCTTAATTTTACTTATTATGATCTGCTCTCCGGTTCCTCAATTTGCCATCCTCCATGTTGCCTTCCCTTAATTTTATTTATTAATGATCTGCTCTCCGATTCCTCAATGTGCCATCCTCCATGTTGCCTTCCCCTTAATTTCATTTATTATGATCTGCTCTCCGATTCCTCAATGTGCCATCCACCATGTTGCCTTCCCCTTAATTTCATTTATTATGATGTGCTCTCAGATTCCTCAATGTGGATTCCTCCATGTTGCCTTCACCTTAATTGCATTCATTATGATCTGCTCTCCGTCTCCTCAATGTGCCATCCTCCAAGTTGCCTTCCCCTTAATTTCATTCATGATGATCTTCACTCCGATTCCTCAATGTGCCATCCTCCATGTTGCCTTCCCCTTAATTTCATTCATTATGATCTGCTCTCCGATTCCTCAATGTGCCATCCACCATGTTGCCTTCCCCTTAATTTCATTTATTATGATGTGCTCTCCGATTCCTCAATGTGCCATCCTCCATTTTGCCTTCCCCTTAATTTCATTTATTATGATCGGCTCTTAGATTACTCAATGTGCCATCCTCCATTTTGCCTTCTCTTAATTTCATTTATTATGATCTGCTCTCAGATTCCTCAATGTGCCATCCTCCATGTTGCCTTCCCTTAATTGCATTCATTATGATTTGCTCTCCGATTCCTCAATATGCCATCCTCCATGTTGCCTTCCCCTTAATTTCATTCATTATGATCTGCTCTTCAATTCCTTAATGTGCCATCCTCCAAGTTGCCTTCCCCTTAATTTCATTCATGATGATCTTCACTCCGATTCCTCAATGTGCCATCCTCCATGTTGCCTTCCCCTTAATTTCATTCATTATGATCTGCTCTCCGATTCCTCAATGTGCCATCCACCATGTTGCCTTCCCCTTAATTTCATTTATTATGATGTGCTCTCCGATTCCTCAATGTGCCATCCTCCATTTTGCCTTCCCCTTAATTTCATTTATTATGATCGGCTCTTAGATTACTCAATGTGCCATCCTCCATTTTGCCTTCCTCTTAATTTCATTTATTATGATCTGCTCTCAGATTCCTCAATGTGCCATCCTCCATGTTGCCTTCCCCTTAATTGCATTCATTATGATTTGCTCTCCGATTCCTCAATATGCCATCCTCCATGTTGCCTTCCCCTTAATTTCATTCATTATGATCTGCTCTTCAATTCCTTAATGTGCCATCCTCCATGTTGCCTTCCCCTTAATTTTATTCATTATGAGCTGCTCTCCGATTCATCAATGTGCCATCCACCATGTTGCCTTCCCCTTAATTTCATTTATTATGATGTGCTCTCCGATTCCTCAATGTGCCATCCTCCATTTTGCCTTCCCCTTAATTTCATTCATTATGATCGGCTCTTAGATTACTCAATGTGCCATCCTCCATTTTGCCTTCCCCTTAATTTCATTTATTATGATCTGCTCTCAGATTCCTCAATGTGGATTCCTCCATGTTGCCTTCCCCTTAATTGCATTCATTATGATCTGCTCTCCGGTTCCTCAATGTGCCATCCTCCATGTTGCCTTCCCCTTAATTTTATTTATTATGATCTGCTCTCCGATTCCTCAATGTGCCATCCTCCATGTTGCCTTCCCCTTAATTGCATTCATTATGATCTGCTCTCCGATTCCTCAATGTGCCATCCTCCATGGAGCCTTCCCCTTAATTTTATTTATTATGATCTGCTCTCCGATTCCTCAATGTGCCGTCCTCCATGTTGCCTTCCCCTTAATTTCATTTATTATGATCTGGTCTCCGATTCCTCAATGTGCCATCCTCCATGTTGCCTTCCGGTTAATTTCATTTATTATGATCTTCTCTCCGATTCATCAATGTGCCATCCTCCATGATTCCTTCCCCTTAATTGCATTCATTATGATCTGCTCTCCGGTTCCTCAATGTGCCACCCTCCATGTTGCCTTCCCCTTAATTTTATTAATTATGATCTGCTCTCAGATTCCTCATTGTGCCATCCTCCATGTTGCCTTCCCCTTAATTTCATTTATTATGATCTGCTCTCCGATTCCTTAATGTGCCATCCTCCATTTTGCCTTCCCCTTAATTTTATTCATTATGATCGGCTCTTAGATTACTCAATGTGCCATCCTCCATTTTGCCTTCCCCTTAATTTCATTTATTATGATCTGCTCTCAGATTCCTCAATGTGGATTCCTCCATGTTGCCTTCCCCTTAATTGCATTCATTATGATCTGCTCTCCGGTTACTCAATGTGCCATCCTCCATGTTGCCTTCCGCTTAATTTTAGTTATTATGATCTGCTCTCCGATTCCTCAATGTACCATCCTCCATGTTGCCTTCCGCTTAATTGCATTCATTATGATCTGCTCTCCGGTCCCTCAATGTGCCATCCTCCATGTTGCCTTCCCCTTAATTTCATTTATTATGATCTGGTCTCCGATTCCTCAATGTGCCATCCTCCATGTTGCCTTCCCCTTAATTGCATTCATTATGATCTGCTCTCCGATTCCTCAATGTGCCATCCTCCATGGAGCCTTCCCCTTAATTTTATTTATTATGATCTGCTCTCCGATTCCTCAATGTGCCGTCCTCCATGTTGCCTTCCCTTTAATTTCATTTATTATGATCTGGTCTCCGATTCCTCAATGTGCCATCCTCCATGTTGCCTTCCGCTTAATTTCATTTATTATGATCTGCTCTCCGATTCATCAATGTGCAATCCTCCATGGTGCCTTCCCCTTAATTTTATTTATTATGATCTGCTCTCCGATTCCTCAATGTGCCATCCTCCATGTTGCCTTCCGCTTAATTTCATTTATTATGATCTGGTCTCCGATTCATCAATGTGCCATCCTCCATGGTGCCTTAATTTTAATTTTATTCATTATGATCTGCCTTCTCCGATTCCTCAATGTGCCATCCTCCATGTTGCCTTCCCTTAATTTCATTCATTATGATCTGGTCTCCGATTCCTCAATGTGCCATCCTCCATGTTGCCTTCCCTTAATTTCATTTGATCTTCTGATCTGCATCTCCGATTCATCAATGTGCCATCCTCCATGTTGCCTTCCCTTAATTTTATTTATTATGATCTGCTCTCCGATTCCATCAATGTGCCATCCTCCATGTTGCCTTCCGCTTAATTTCATTTATTATGATCTGCTCTCCGATTCATCAATGTGCCATCCTCCATGGTGCCTTCCGCTTAATTTCATTTATTATGATCTGCTCTCCGATTCATCAATGTGCCATCCTCCATGTTGCCTTCCGCTTAATTTCATTTATTATGATCTGGTCTCCGATTCATCAATGTGCCATCCTCCATGTTGCCTTCCGCTTAATTTCATTTATTATGATCTGCTCTCCGATTCATCAATGTGCCATCCTCCATGTTGCTTAATTTCTGATTCCGATTTAATTTCATTTATTATGATCTGGTCTCCGATTCATCAATGTGCCATCCTCCATGGTGCCTTCCGCTTAATTTCATTTATTATGATCTGCTCTCCGATTCATCAATGTGCCATCCTCCATGTTGCCTTCCGCATAATTTCATTTATTATGATCTGGTCTCCGATTCCTCAATGTGCCATCCTCCATGGTGCCTTCCGCTTAATTTCATTTATTATGATCTGGTCTCCGATTCCTCAATGTGCCATCCTCCATGTTGCCTTCCGCTTAATTTCATTTATTATGATCTGGTCTCCGATTCATCAATGTGCCATCCTCCATGTTGCCTTCCGCTTAATTTCATTTATTATGATCTGGTCTCCGATTCCTCAATGTGCCATCCTCCATGTTGCCTTCCGCTTAATTTCATTTATTATGATCTGGTCTCCGATTCATCAATGTGCCATCCTCCATGGTGCCTTCCGCTTAATTTCATTTATTATGATCTGGTCTCCGATTCCTCAATGTGCCATCCTCCATGTTGCCTTCATCGCTTAATTTCATTTATTTATAATCTGGTCTCCGATTCCTCAATGTGCCATCCTCCATGTTGCCTTCCGCTTAATTTCATTTATTATGATCTGCTCTCCGATTCATCAATGTGCCATCCTCCATGTTGCCTTCCGCTTAATTTCATTTATTATGATCTGGTCTCCGATTCATCAATGTGCCATCCTCCATGGTGCCTTCCGCTTAATTTCATTTATTATGATCTGGTCTCCGATTCCTCAATGTGCCATCCTCCATGTTGCCTTCCGCTTAATTTCATTTATTTATATCTGGTCTGATCTGGTCTCCATATTTGATTCATCAATGTGCCATCCTCCATGGTGCCTTCCGCTTAATTTCATTTATTATGATCTGGTCTCTCCGATTCTCAATGTGCCATCCTCCATGGTGCCTTCCTTAATTTCATTTATTATGATCTGGTCTCCGATTCATCAATGTGCCATCCTCCATGGTGCCTTCCGCTTAAATTATGATCTGGTCTCCGATTCCTCAATGTGCCATCCTCCATGGTGCCTTCCATTTATTATGATCTGGTCTCCGATTCCTCAATGTGCCATCCTCCATGTTGCCTTCGCTTAATTTCATTTATTATGATCTGGTCTCTGATTCATCAATGTGCCATCCTCCATGGTGCCTTCCGCTTAATTTCATTTATTATGATCTGGTCTCCGATTCCTCAATGTGCCATCCTCCATGGTGCCTTCCTTCATTCTTATGATGCTCTCGATTCCTTAATTTCATTTATTATGATCTGGTCTCCGATTCATCAATGTGCCATCCTCCATGGTGCCTTCCTTAATTTCATTTATTATGATCTGGTCTCGATTCATCAATGTGCCATCCTCCATGTTGCCTTCCGCTTAATTTTCATTTATTATGATCTGGTCTCCGATTCATCAATGTGCCATCCTCCATGGTGCCTTCCCTTAATTTCATTTATTATGATCTGCTCTCCGATTCATCAATGTGCCATCCTCCATGGTGCCTTCCCTTAATTTCATTTATTTATGATCTGCTCTCCGATTCATCAATGTGCCATCCTCCATGTTGCCTTCCGCTTAATTTCATTTATTATGATCTGCTCTCGATTCTCAATGATTCATCAATGTGCCATCCTCGATTCATGGTGCCTTCCCTTTAATTTTATTTATTATGATCTGCTCTCCGATTCCTCAATGTGCCATCCTCCATGGTGCCTTCCCTTAATTTCATTTATTATGATCTGGTCTCCGATTCATCAATGTTGCCATCCTCCATGTTGCCTTCCATGTTGCCTTAATTTCATTTTTATGATCTGCTCTCCGATTCATCAATGTGCCATCCTCCATGTTGCCTTCCGCTTAATTTCATTTATTATGATCTGGTCTCCGATTCATCAATGTGCCATCCTCCATGGTGCCTTCCGCTTAATTTCATTTATTATGATCTGCTCTCCGATTCATCAATGTGCCATCCTCCATGGTGCCTTCCGCTTAATTTTATTTTTATGATCTGCTCTCCGATTCATCAATGCCATCCTCCATGTTGCCTTCCGCTTAATTTCATTTATTATGATCTGCTCTCCGATTCATCAATGTGCCATCCTCCATGGTGCCTTCCGCTTAATTTTATTTATTATGATCTGCTCTCCGATTCATCAATGTGCCATCCTCCATGTTGCCTTCCGCTTAATTTCATTTATTATGATCTGCTCTCCGATTCATCAATGTGCCATCCTCCATGGTGCCTTCCAATGTGCCTTAATTTTATTTTATTATGATCTGCTCTCCGATTCATCAATGCCATCCTCATGGTGCCTTCATGTTTGCTTTTAATTTCATTTATTATGATCTGCTCTTGATTCATCGATTCATCCTCCATGTTGCCTTCCGCTTAATTTCATTTTATTATGATCTGCAATGTGCCATCCGATTCCAATGTTCCCATGGTCCTTAATTTTATTTTTATGATCTGCTCTCCGATTCCCTCAATGTGCCATCCTCCATGGTGCCTTCCGCTTAATTTCATTATTATGATCTGCTCTCCGATTCATCAATGTGCCATCCTCCATGGTGCCTTCCGCTTATTTTTTATTTTTTATGATCTGCTCTCCGATTCATCAATGTGCCATCCTCCATGTTGCCTTCCCCTTAATTTCATTTATTATGATCTGGTCTCCGATTCATCCATGTGCCATCCTCCATGGTGCCTTCCGCTTAATTTTATTTATTATGATCTGTTCTCCGATTCATCAATGTGCCATCCTCCATGTTGCCTTCCTGCTTAATTTTATTTATTATGATCTGCTCTCCGATTCATCAATGTGATTCCTCCATCCTCCATGGTGCCTTCCGCTTAATTTTATTTATTATGATCTGCTCTCCGATTCATCAATGTGCCATCCTCCATGTTGCCTTCCGCTTAATTTTTTATTTATTATGATCTGCTCTCCGATTCATCAATGTGCCATCCTCCATGTTGCCTTCCGCTTAATTTCATTTATTATGATCTGCTCTCCGATTCATCAATGTGCCATCCTCCATGGTGCCTTCCCCTTAATTTTATTTATTATGATCTGCTCTCCGATTCATCAATGTGCCATCCTCCATGGTGCCTTCCCTTAATTTTATTTATTATGATCTGCTCTCTTGATTCATCAATGGGCCATCCTCCATGTTGCCTTCCCTTAATTGCATTTATTATGATCTGCTCTCAGATTCATCAATTTTGTGGATTCCTCCATTTGCCTTCCCTTAATTTTATTCATTATGATCTGCTCTCCGGTTCCTCAATGTGCCATCCTCCATGTTGCCTTCCCCTTAATTTCATTCATTATGATCTGCTCTCCGGTTCCTCAATGTGCCATCCTCCATGTTGCCTTCCCTTAATTTTATTCATGATGATCTTCTCTCCGATTCCTCAATGTGCCATCCTCCATTTTGCCTTCCCTTAATTTCATTTATTATGATCTGCTCTCCGATTCTCAATGTGCCATCCACCATGTTGCCTTCCGATTCTTAATTTCATTTATTATGATGTGCTCTCCGATTCCTCAATGTGCCATCCTCCATTTTGCCTTCCCCTTAATTTCATTTATTATGATCGGCTCTTAGATTACTCAATGTGCCATCCTCCATTTTGCCTTCCTCTAAATTTCATTTATTATGATCTGCTCTCAGATTCCTCAATGTGGATTCCTCCATGTTGCCTTCCCCTTAATTGCATTCATTATGATTTGCTCTCCGATTCCTCAATATGCCGTCCTCCATATTGCCTTCCCTTTAATTTCATTTATTATGATCTGGTCTCCGATTCCTCAATGTGCCATCCTCCATGTTGCCTTCCGCTTAATTTCATTTATTATGATCTGCTCTCCGATTCATCAATGTGCCATCCTCCATGGTGCCTTCCCCTTAATTTAATTTTATTCTCCGATTATGATCTGTGCCTTCCCGATTCGATTCATGTGCCATCCTCCATGATTCCTTCCCCTTAATTGCATTCATTATGATCTGCTCTCAGATTCCTCATTGTGCCATCCTCCATGTTGCCTTCCATTTTTTAATTTCATTTATTATGATCTGCCATCTCCGATTCCTTAATGTGCCATCCTCCATTTTGCCTTCCCTTAATTTCATTCATTATGATCGGCTCTTAGATTACTCAATGTGCCATCCTTCATTTTGCCTTCCCCTTAATTTCATTATTATGATCTGCTCTCAGATTCCTCAATGTGGATTCCTCCATGTTGCCTTCCCTTAATTGCATTCATTATGATCTGCTCTCCGGTTCCTCAAGTGCCATCCTCCATGTTGCCTTCCCCTTAATTTTTCATTTATTATGATCTGCTCTCTGATTCCTCAATGTACCATCCTCCATGTTGCCTTCCCCTTAATTGCATTCATTATGATCTGCTCTCCGGTTCCTCAATGTGCCATCCTCCATGTTGCCTTCCCTTAATTTTATTTATTATGATCTGGTCTCCGATTCCTCAATGTGCCATCCTCCATGTTGCCTTCCCCTTAATTGCATTTATTATGATCTGCTCTCCGATTCCTCAATGTGCCATCCTCCATGTGAGTCTTCCCTTAATTTCATTTATTGTGATCTGCTCTCCGATTCATCAATGTGCCATCCTCCATGGTGCCTTCCCTTAATTTTATTTATTATGATCTGCTCTCCGATTCCTCAATGTGCCATCCTCCATGTTGCCTTCCCTTAATCTGGTTGCATTTCATTATGATCTGCTCTCCCTTAATTTACTCAATGTGCCATCCTCCATGTTGCCTTCCCTTAATTTCATTTATTATGATCTGCTCTCCGATTCCTCAATGTACCATCCTCCATGTTGCCTTCCCTTAATTGCATTCATTATGATCTGCTCTCCGATTCCTCAATGTGCCATCCTCCATGTTGCCTTGCCCCGCTTAATTTTATTTATTATGATCTGGTCTCCATGATTCCTCAATGTGCCATCCTCCATGTTGCCTTCCCTTTAATTGCATTTATTATGATCTGGTCTCCGATTCCTCAATGTGCCATCCTCCATGGAGTCCTTCCCCTTAATTTTATTTATTATGATCTGCTCTCCGATTCTCAATGTGCCATCCTCCATGTTGCCTTCCTTTAATTTCATTCATTATGATCTGCTCTCCGATTCCTCAATGTGCCATCCTCCATGTTGCCTTCCGCTTAATTTCATTTATTATGATCTGGTCTCCGATTCATCAATGTGCCATCCTCCATGGTGCCTTCCCCTTAATTTTATTCATTATGATCTGCTCTCCGATTCCTCAATGTGCCATCCGCCATGGAGCCTTCCCCTTAATTTCATTCATTATGATCTGGTCTCCGATTCCTCAATGTGCCATCCTCCATGTTGCCTTCCGCTTAATTTCATTTATTATGATCTGCTCTCCGATTCATCAATGTGCCATCCTCCATGGTGCCTTCCCCTTAATTTTATTTATTATGATCTGCTCTCCGATCCTCAATGTGCCATCCTCCATGTTGCCTTCCGCTTAATTTCATTTATTATGATCTGCTCTCCGATTCATCAATGTGCCATCCTCCATGGTGCCTTCCCTTAATTTTTATTTATTATGATCTGCTCTCCGATTCATCAATGGTCTCTGCCATCCTCCTCCATGTTGCCTTCGCTTAATTTCATTTATTATGATCTGGTCTCCGATTCATCAATGTGCCATCCTCCATGTTGCCTTCCCTTAATTTCATTTATTATGATCTGCTCTCCGATTCATCAATGTGCCATCCTCCATGTTGCCTTCCTTAATTTCATTTATTATGATCTGCTCTCCGATTCATCAATGTGCCATCCTCCATGTTGCCTTCCGCTTAATTTCATTTATTATGATCTGGATCTCCGATTCATCAATGTGCCATCCTCCATGGTGCCTTCCGCTTAATTTCATTTATTATGATCTGCTCTCCGATTCATCAATGTGCCATCCTCCATGGTGCCTTCCTTAATTTCATTTATTATGATCTGGTCTCCGATTCCTCAATGTGCCATCCTCCATGGTGCCTTCGCTTAATTTCATTTATTATGATCTGGTCTCCGATTCATCAATGTGCCATCCTCCATGGTGCCTTCCATCTTAATTTCATTTTATTATGATCTGGTCTCCGATTCCTCAATGTGCCATCCTCCATGTTGCCTTCCCTTAATTTCATTTATTATGATCTGCTCTCGATTCATCAATGTGCCATCCTCCATGGTGCCTTCCCCTTAATTTATTTATTATGATCTGGTCTCCGATTCCTCAATGTGCCATCCTCCATGTTGCCTTCCCGCTTAATTTCATTTATTATGATCGTGTCTCCGATTCATCAATGCTCTCCATCCTCCATCCTTTGCCTTCCCCTTTAATTTCATTTGTATGATCTGCTCTCAGATTCCTCAATGTGCCATCCTCCATTTTGCCTTCCCCATTTAATTGCTCTCATTCATTATGATCTGGCTCTTAGATTCCTCAATGTGCCATCCTCCATTTGCCTTCCCTTAATTTTATTTGATTGCTCTGATCTGCTCTCAGATTCCTTAATTTCAATGTTCTCATCCTCCATGTTGCCTTCCGCTTAATTGCATTCATTTATGATCTGCTCTCCGGTTCCTCAATGTGCCATCCTCCATGTTGCCTTCCTTAATTTTATTTATTATGATCTCTGCTCTCCGATTCCTCAATGTGCCATCCTCCATGTTGCCCTTCCCTTAATTGCATTCATTATGATCTGCTCTCCGGTCCTCAATGGTGCCATCCTCCATGGAGCCTTCCCCTTTATTTTATTTATTATGATCTGCTCTCCGATTCCTCAATGTGCCATCCTCCATGTTGCCTTCCCTTAATTTTCATTTATTGTGATCTGCTCTCCTGAGTTCCTCATTTATGATCAATGATTCCTCAATATCCTCCATGTTGCCTTCCTTAATTTCATTTATTATGATCTGCTCTCCGATTCATCAATGTGCCATCCTCCATGTTGCCTTCCCTTTAATTTCATTTATTATGATCTGCTCTCCGATTCATCAATGTGCCATCCTCCATATTTGCCTTCCCCTTAATTTCATTTATTATGATCTGCTCTCCGATTCATCAATGTGCCATCCTCCATGTTGCCTTCCGCTTAATTTTATTTATTATGATCTGCTCTCCGATTCTCAATGTGCCATCCTCCATGGTGCCTTCCTTAATTTTTATTATGATCTGCTCTCCGATTCATCAATGTGCCATCCTCCATGTTGCCTTCCCCTTAATTTCATTTATTATGATCTGGTCTCCGATTCATCAATGTGCCATCCTCCATGGTGCCTTCCTTAATTTTATTCATGATGATCTGCTCTCCGATTCCTCAATGTGCCATCCTCCATGTTGCCTTCCCATTTTAATTTTCATTTCCATCCTATGATCTGCTCTCCCGATTCATCAATGTGCCATCCTCCATGGTGCCTTCCTTAATTTTATTTATTATGATCTGCTCTCCGATTCATCAATGTGCCATCCTCCATGTTGCCTTCCCTTAATTTTTTATTTATTCTCCGATCTGCTCTCCGATTCATCAATCTGCCATCCTCCATGTTGCCTTCCGCTTAATTTCATTTATTATGATCTGCTTCCGATTCATCAATGTGCCATCCTCCATGGTGCCTTCATTTAATAATTTATTTATTATGATCTGCTCTGATTCATCAATGTGCCATCCTCCATGTTGCCTTCCGCTTAATTTCATTTATTATGATCTGCTCTCCGATTCATCAATGTGCCATCCTCCATGTTGCCTTCACTTAATTTCATTTATTATGATCTGCTCTCCGATTCATCAATGTGCCATCCTCCATGTTGCCTTCCGCTTAATTTCATTTATTATGATCTGCTCTCCGATTCATCAATGTGCCATCCTCCATGTTGCCTTCCGCTTAATTTCATTTATTATGATCTGCTCTCCGATTCATCAATGTGCCATCCTCCATGGTGCCTTCCGCTTAATTTCATTTATTATGATCTGCTCTCCGATTCATCAATGTGCCATCCTCCATGTTGCCTTCCGCTTAATTTCATTTATTATGATCTGGTCTCCGATTCATCAATGTGCCATCCTCCATGGTGCCTTCCGATTAATTTCATTTATTATGATCTGGTCTCCGATTCCTCAATGTGCCATCCTCCATGGTGCCTTCCTGATTAATCTTTCATTTATTATGATCTGGTCTCCGATTCATCAATGTGCCATCCTCCATGGTGCCTTCCCTTAATTTACATTTATTATGATCTGCTCTCCGATTCATCAATGTGCCATCCTCCATGGTGCCTTCCCCTTAATTTTATTTATGTTGCCTTCCGCTTAATTTCATTTATTATGATCTGCTCAAATTCCTCAATGTTGCCATCCTCCATGTTGCCTTCCGCTTAATTTCATTTATTATGATCTGCTCTCCGATTCATCAATGTGCCATCCTCCATGGTGCCTTCCCCTTAATTTTATTCATTATGATCTGCTCTCCGATTCCTCAATGTGCCATCCTCCATGGAGCCTTCCCCTTAATTTCATTTATTATGATCTGGTCTCCGATTCCTCAATGTGCCATCCTCCATGTTGCCTTCCGCTTAATTTCATTTATTATGATCTGCTCTCCGATTCATCAATGTGCCATCCTCCATGGTGCCTTCCCCTTAATTTTATTTATTATGATCTGCTCTCCGATTCCTCAATGTGCCATCCTCCATGGTGCCTTCCGCTTAATTTCATTTATTATGATCTGCTCTCCGATTCATCAATGTGCCATCCTCCATGTTGCCTTCCGCTTAATTTCATTTATTATGATCTGCTCTTCGATTCATCAATGTGCCATCCTCCATGTTGCCTTCCGCTTAATTTCATTTATTATGATCTGGTCTCCGATTCATCAATGTGCCATCCTCCATGGTGCCTTCCGCTTAATTTTATTTATTATGATCTGCTCTCCGATTCATCAATGTGCCATCCTCCATGTTGCCTTCCGCTTAATTTCATTTATTATGATCTGCTCTCCGATTCATCCATGTGCCATCCTCCATGGTGCCTTCCGCTTAATTTTATTTATTATGATCTGCCATCCTCTCCGATTCATCAATGTGCCATCCTCCATGGTGCCTTCCCTTTAATTTTATTTTTTATTTATTCCGATCATCTGCATCCTCCGATTCATTTCAATGATCTGCTTCCGATTCATCAATGTGCATCCTCCATGGTGCCTTCCGCTTAATTTTATTTATTATGATCTGCTCTCCGATTCATCAATGTGCCATCCTCCATGGTGCCTTCCCTTAATTTTTATTTATTATGATCTGCTCCCCAATTCATCAATGTAGCCATCCTCCATGGTGCCATCCTCCTTGCCCCCTTAATTTTATTTATTATGATCTGCTCTCTGATTCATCCAATATCCTCATCATCATGGTGCCTTCCCTTAATTTCATTTATTATGATCTGCTCTCCGATTCATCAATGCCATCCTCCATGTTGCCTTTCCGCTTAATTTCATTTATTATGATATGCTCCCCGATTCATCAATGTGCCATCCTCCATGGTGCCTTCCCTTAATTTCATTTATTATGATCTGCTCTCCGATTCATCAATGTGCCATCCTCCATGGTGCCTTCCGCTTAATTTATTTATTATGATCTGCTCTCCGATTCATCAATGTGCCATCCTCCATGTTGCCTTCCCTTAATTTCATTTATTATGATTCATCAATGTGCCTCCTCGATTCATCAATGTGCCATCCTCCATGGTGCCTTCCGATTCATCAATTGCCATTTCATTTATTATGATCTGCTCTCCGATTCATCAATGTGCTCTCCATCCTCAATGTGCCATCCTCCATGTTGCCTTCCTTAATTTCATTTTGTGCCGATATGCTCTATTTATTTATGATCTGCTCTCCGATTCATCAATGTGCCATCCTCCATGGTGCCTTCGCTTAATTTCATTTATTATGATCTGTTCTCCGATTCATCAATGCCATCCTCCATGTTGCCTTCCCTTAATTTCATTTAATGATCTGCTCTCCGATTCATCAATGTGCCATCTGGTGCCTTGATTTCATCATGATCTGTATCTCGATTCATCAATGTGCCATCCTCCATGGTGCCTTCCCCTTAATTTTATTTATTATGATCTGCTCTCCGATTCATCAATGTGCCATCCTCCATGGTGCCTTCCATCTTATCCCCTCCATTTCATTTATTATGAGGATCTGCTCTCCGATTCATCAATGTGCCATCCTCCATGGTGCCTTCCCTTAATTTTATTTATTATGATCTGCTCTCCGATTCATCAATTTTGCCATCCTCCATGGTGCCTTCCCCTTTATTTTCATTTCCGATTCCTCAATGTGCCATCCTCATGTTGCCTTCCCATTTGATCTGCTCTCCGATTCATCAATGTGCCATCCTCCATGGTGCCTTCCCTTAATTTTTATTTATTATGATATGCTCTCCGATTCATCATTATGTGATTCCATCCTCCATGGTGCCTTCCTTAATTTCATTTATTATGATCTGCTCTTCGATTCCTCAATGTACTCCTCCTCCATATTTTGCCATCCCTTCCTTAATTTCATTTATTATGATCTGCTCTCCAATTCATCAATGTGCCATCCTCCATGGTACCTTTTCATTTAATTTGATTTATTGTCCTGCTCTCCCTTAATTTTCATCAATGTGCCATCCTCCATGGTGCCTTCGCTTAATTTTATTTATTATGATCTGCTCTCCGATTCATCAATGCCATCCTCCATGTTGCCTTCCCTTAATTTCATTTATTATGATCTGCTCTCCGATTCATCTCAATGTGCCATCCTCCATGGTGCCCTCCCTTAATCTTTCTTATTTATTATGATCTGTCTCCATGGTATTTCATCAATCCGATTCATCAATGTGCCATCCTCCATGGTGCCTTCCGCTTAATTTCATTTTTATGATCTGTCTCCGATTCATCAATGTGCCATCCTCCATGTTGCCTTCCTTAATTTCATTTATTATGATCTGCTCTCCGATTCATCAATGTGCCATCCTCCATGGTGCCTTCCCCTTAATTTCAATTTGATCTTCTCCGATTCATCAATGCCATCCTCATGTTGCTCTCCTTAATTTCATTTATTATGATCTGCTTCCCGATTCATCAATGTCCCATCCTCCATGTTTGCCTTCCTTAATTTCATTTATTATGATCTGCTCTCCGATTCATCCATGTGCCATCCTCCATGGTGCCTTCCGCTTAATTTTTATTTATGATCTGCTCTCTTATTTATCCTTATTTGATCATTGTTGATCTGATTCATTCATCCATGTGCCATCCTCATGGTGCCTTCCGCTTAATTTTATTTATTATGATCTGCTCTCCGATTCATCAATGTGCCATCCTCCATGTTGCCTTCCGCTTAATTTCCCCCCAGCCATGATCTGCTCTCCGATTCATCTCATCGTGCCATGCCTTCCTTAATTTTATTTGTGTAATCTGCCGATTCATGCTTACGTTGCCTTCTTAATTTTATTTATTGTGATCTGCCTGATTCATCAATATTGCCATCCTCCATGTTGCCTTCGCTTAATTTCATTTATTATGATCTGCTCTCGATTCATCAATGTGCCATCCTCCATGTTGCCTTCCGCTTAATTTCATTTATTATGATCTGCTCTCCGATTCATCAATTGTGCCATCCTCCATTTATTTGTTATGATCTGCTCTCCGATTCATCAATGTGCCATCTCATAGTACCTTCCATTATGTTATGATCTGCTCTCCGATTCATCAATATTGCCATCCTCCATGTTGCCTTCCTTATTTTATTTATTGTAATCCTCTCAATTCATCAATGTGCCATCCTCCATGGTCTCCGATCTGCTCTCCATTCATCATGTGCCATCCTCACATGTTGCCTTCCCTTTATTTCATTGGTGCTCTCCATTCATCAATATGCCATCCTCCAAGTGCCTTCCGCTTAATTTTTTATGGTGATCTGCTCTCCGATTCATCAATGCCCATCCTCCATCCATTTCCCTTATTTGGTGCTCTCCGATTCATCAATGTGCCATCTCCATAGTGCCTTCCTTAATTTCATTTTATGATCTGCTCTCCGGTTCATCAATGTGCCATCCTCCATGTTCCGCATAATTTCATTTATGATCTGCTCTCCGATTCCTCAATGTGCCATCCTAATTTGCATTTATTATGATCTGCTCTCTGATTCATCAATGTGCCATCCTCCATGGTACCCTTCCCTTAATTCATTTATTATGATCTGCTCTCCGATTCATCAATGTGCCATCCTCCATGGTGCCTTCCTTAATTTTATTTATGTCTGATTCATCAATGTTCCTCCATTTTGCCTTCCGCTTAATTCATTTTTTATTGATCTGCTCTCCGATTCATCAATGTGCCATCCTCCATGGTGCCTTCCTTAATTTCATTTATTATGATCTGCTCCGATTCATCAATGTGTACCATCCTCCATGGTGCCTTCCCCTTAATTTATTTATTATGATCTGCTCTCCGATTCCTCAATGTGCCATCCTCCCATGTTGCCTTCCTTAATTTCATTTATTATGATCTGCTCTCCGATTCATCAATGTGCCATCCTCCATGGCCTTCCCTTGATCTTTCATTTGATCTGCTCTCCGATTCATGATCTGCTCGATTCATCATCCTCCATGGTGCCTTTAATTTTATTTATCTGCTCTCCGATTCCTCTGCTCTCCATGTTGATTCATCATCAATGTGCCATCCTCCTTGGTGCCTTCCTCCATTTTTAGTCTGCTTCCGTATATTCATCATTTATTATGTTCTGCTCTTCCGATTCATCCTCCATGGTGCCTTCCCTTAATTTTGATATCTGCTCTCCGATTCATCAATGTTGCCATCCTCCATGGTGCCTTCCCCTTAATTTTATTTATTCCATGATCTGCTCTCGATTCATCAATGCCATCCTCCATGTTGCCTTCCACTTAATTTCATTTGTATGATCTTTCTCCGATTCATCAATGTACCCATCCTCCATACCCCCTTCATCATTATGATCATCTGCTCTCATTGCCATCCTCCTCCATGTTGATCCTTCCCTTCAATGCCATCTCTTGGTGCCTTCCCTTAATTTTATTGATCTGCTCTCCGATTTCATCTCCATGTGCCCATCTGCTCTCCAATTCATCAATGTGCCATCCTCCATGCCTTCCGCTTAATTTATTTATTTTGATCTGCTCTCCGATTCATCAATGTGCCATCCTCCCATGGTGCCTTGCTTAATTTCATTGTGTATGTTCTGCTCTCCGATTCATCAATGTGCCATCCTCCATGGTGCCTTCCGTTAATAATTTTATTTATTATGATCTGCTCTCCGATTCATCAATGTGCCATCCTCCATGGTGCCTTCCCTTAATTTTATTATTATGATCTGCTCTGATTCATCAATGTGCCATCCTCCATGGTGCCTTTCCTTAATTTTATTTATTATGTCTGCTCTCCGATTCATCAAAAGCATCCTCCATGGTGCCTTCCCTTAATTTATTTGTTATGATCTGCTCTCGATTCCTCAATGTGCCATCCTCCATGTTGCCTTCCGCTTAATTTCATTTATTATGATCTGCTGATTCATCTCTCCGATTCATCTTAATTTTAATCTGCTCTCCAGTTATCAATGCCATCCTCCATGGTGCCTTCCCCTTAATTTTATTTATAATCTGCTCTCGATTCATCAATGTGCATTCCTCCATGTTGCCTTCTTAATTTCATTTATTATGATCTGCTCTCCGATTCATCAATGTGCCATCCTCCTATGGTGCCCTTCTGCTTAATTTCATTTATTATGATCTGCTCTCCGATTCATCAATGTTGCTGCATCTCCATGGTGCCTTCCATAATTTTATTTATTATGATCTGCTCTCCGATTCATCAATACCCATCCTCCATGGTGCCTTCCTTAATTTAATTTTATCTGCTATTCATCAATGCCATCTCCCTCCGTGCCTTCCTTGCTTTTATAGTTTCAATGCAATGTGCCATCCTCCATGGTGCCTTCATGGATCCTTGTTCATCCTCCTGGTGCCTTCCCTTAATTTTATTTATTATGATCTGCTCTCCGATTCCTCAATGTGCCATCCTCCATGTTGCCTTCTTATTTCAATTTGATCTGCTTTCTTATTCATATGCATCCTCCGACCTTCATCATTGTGCCATCTCTCCATTTCCAATATTACCCATCCTCCA